CATATATGCATAAATAATGCGTCTACATTTTGTAAAATAGTTATGTATCTGTGTCATCATTTCTGTTAGTCATAATGTTATAATATATTTTCTAATGTTTACTATGTTATTTTGTTCTTCAATAGATAATGAGTATGGCTAAATCTGCAAATCGAGGAGGAGATATATGTTTAGCAGATAGTGCTACAACACATACAATACTGACAGACAAGAAATATTTTTCTAGTCTGAAAATAAACAAAGGAAATGTCATTACTATATCTGGAAATGCAAAAATAATTGAAGGCTCCGGAAGAGCCGATTTCATAATGCCAGGAGGAACAAAATTTGCTATAAAAGATGCACTATTTTTCTCCAAGTCCCAAAGAAATCTATTAAGTTTTAAAGATATCTGACTGAATGCATATCATATTGAAACCACAAATAAAGGTGATATTGAATATTTGTGTATCACCTCAATCAATATGGGACAAAAATATGTGTTAGAAAAATTACCCACTCTATCTTCGGGATTATATTATACTAATATCAATGTGATTGAATCATATGCCACAGTAAACCAGAAGTTTACCGATATGTTCAAAGTTTGGCATGATCGATTGGGTCATCCTGGTGCCATTATGATGAGAAAGATTATCGAAAACTCTCATGGTCACCCATTGAAAAACCAGAAGATTTTTCAATCAGATGAGTTTTCTTGTGATGCATGTTCTAGAGGAAAATTAATAATCAGACCATCACAAGCTAAAATCGGGCATGAATTACCATCATTTCTAGAAAGGATTCATGGTGATATTTGTGGACCTATTCATCCACCATGCGGACCATTTCGATATTTTATGGTATTAATTGATGCTTCAAGCAGATGGTCGCATGTATGTCTTTTATCATCACGTAATCTGGCATTTGCCCGATTTTTAGCCCAAATAATTAAATTAAGGGCTCAGTTCTCGGAATACTCAATCAAGAAAGTGAGGCTTGATAATGCTGGAGAATTTACATCACAAGCATTTAATGATTACTGTGTAGCAATGGGTATTGATGTTGAACACCCAGTTGCACACGTTCATACACAGAATGGATTGGCAGAGTCATTAATCAAACGACTCCAGCTTATTGCTAGACCATTGATAATGAAAACGAAACTTCCCATTTCTGTGTGGGGTCATGCCATTTTGCATGCTGCAACATTACAAAAAGGGTACTAAAGCGGTTCAATATGGATAAGGCAAATCCCCTGAGTACTCCAATGATTAATAGATCATTGAGTGTTGAAACAGATCCATTTCGCCCTCATGAAGATGGTGAAGAGACACTTGGTCCTGAAGTACCATATTTAAGTGCAATAGGGGCTCTT